ATCTTATATTTTTTCATTTAAACAAATATTTTTCGAGTTACATTACATTTAATATGAGTACTAAAATTTATATTCCATTTTTTTCATTTTACGGTTACTTTTTATCATGTTATACTTACATTAGACACAATGTTATAAATGCATATGTGTGTATGTGTGAGTTTATTTATTTATAGTATCATTAAAGCGTAGTGTATAATAAGATAAAACCGATAGAGTAGGTAATTGATTTGACGCTATATTGTTTAAACCCAACTAAACGCTAAATTGTTCATTCCCAAACAACAATTATATTATGTCAATTGCCACCGGAAGTTCTGCTAATAATAATGATAATTGTCATAAAACGGTCTTTAATCAGGTGCTGGAACTGGTAAAAATTATGGCTGCCGAAAAACAGGTCTTAAATGTTCTATTATACGTGAACATTGCAAAGGTCAATGGCGTACAAAGTCAATAGAAATAAAGATTGAAGATTAAGAAAATTGTACTTTTGTTGAAGATATATTTTATCAGAATTTAGAATGGGAAAATGATTAAGAAAATGGAATAAAATTTTGTTTGATACATTTGTCATATAACTTTATAGTGGAGAAATCCTCCATCGATTACATACTTTGCACTAGTTATGCATATAACTTGTATTTAGGGTATAAATAAGAAAATAGGAGATCATGTAGTTTTTTTATTAATCCATTAAAATTTTAAAATTAAACACTATCTACAGATTTGCAAAAGGCGTTGTTTTTTGATAATGATTTTAATCATTGTCACATATCATCTATACTGCACCCAATTATACACACTGTGGCGGGACACTGCTGGTTTTTTTTTTTAAATAGCGATTAGTTGAAATAGCAGCAATGGGTTTACTTTAATTATTTCATTATTAATTTTAACAATAGAGGTTATTGAAGATACAGTTATAACTATATTTGACCTTTTAAGATTTATATCATGAAAGTTATTATCCACCATTGAGTTTACTAGAACAAGACCAATTTTAGACACTTTATGACAATTAATTTTATCATTACCAGAAATTCTGGCTGGGTTGACAAAAGAGAAAAAGAGGTAGATGAATGAGGAGATCAGTGATAATAGGCGAGAGTGTGAATTGGGAGGTAGAAAGTTTTAAGTATTTAGGACCAGTAGTGCAAAAGAACGGTGGTATTGACAAGAATGTAAGACACAGGATTAAGGGCGGGTGGTTGAAGCGTCTGGTGTCTTATGCGATAAAAGAATTCCAATGAGGATAAAAGGTAAATTCTACAAAATTGTAGTGAGACCAGCTATGATGTATGGTTCAGAGTGTTGGGCGGTTGTTAAGAAAGTAGAGCAGAGATGAAAATGCTTAGTTGGATGAGTGGAGTGACTAGAAAAGATAGAATAAGGACTGACCATATAAGAAGGAGTATAAGTGTAGCGTCAATCGTGGATAAGATAACAGAAAACATACTTACATTGTTTAGTTATGTTATGAGGTGAGAAGAATCGGAAGCTGTAAGAACAGTTATAGAAATGAATTTTGAAGGAAGAAGAGGTCGAGTTAAATGTTTTTTGAGAAAATTAAAAAAGCTTATATATTTTAACTTTTGCGAGGCTGTAAAAAAAAAACTCAAGTCCAATCGATGAGAACTTTTAGTATGTCATTATACATATCTTAATTCAACTTTAAAAAAAAAAAAATTTGGTTGTGAATTTTTCCGCCATTTTTCCTTTGTTGACTGGCCTAATTTCAAAATTTTCCATATGCATAAAATATTTTTAAATAAATAATTATTATCTCCTTAGCCTCTATCCCAACTATTTGTTGTAGGTTCTACGTTATTCTAATTAATTTTATTTATTGGTTTTAATTATACATGTAATACAAAATACTTCTGAACTTCAATATTTAAAAGGGTGCATTATATATATGTATATATATATATATAT